AGTATATATAATAAAAAAGTAGTATAATTTGTTATTTTAATTTGTATTAATATCAAGATTTTGTAATTAAGTTTTTATTCCGTCTCTTCACTTATTATGATTATGTGGGAAAATCTCGTCGACATTAGACGCGCGTTAAACGTGATACGAGAAGATGTACGAGAAGATGCCGGATGTATTCGTAACGATCTCATTGTCGATCCCATATCTGTCGCATCGATCGTAGTAAATTGTCACTTCGCGCAATACATACTGTCTCTTGCATATGCCATGAAAAAATTGCAGCCGAAATGCAAAGTGATTCTCGAGGTAATAAGAAGATTTATCTGAAGAGAGATGAAGGTATGCGATACGGAAAATTTATTACAGGAGGAAAATCGGAGAAGAAAGTTACAGTAGGGAAATCAGAAGCAAGTTCTTAACGCCTTCTAGAATAGGAGAAAGAATAATGTTGAAATAAATATTTAATATTAACGAACTGAAATATATTTCAAATATTATCGAAAGATTCTTCTTAATTTCTTTGTTACACGTTATGGAACCTTCCTTCTGTAACATTTCTTCCGTCTTGGCTCTATTTTAATTTTTTCCTTTTAATAATCTTTTAATTTTTCGTTAATCATTTAATATTTCTGTTGTAGCTTCTTCACGGCACGTACAAGAGATATTGCGTTTTTTTTTTCGGAATTTCTTCTTTGAATCGAAATTTACTTACATATGGGATATGATCCGATATATGAGATCATTGCAATACTCATTCTCGTCGTTTACCAGTCTGTGGAGCTTGCCTCGTGAGACTAGCATCTAGCATCTAGCAAACCAATAAGCCGATGTATTAACCACGATTAATGCACAAGGGATACGGGCAATACCGTCCCAGAAAGTGGATTGCTTCGCGTCGCGTCTATCAGCCGCGTAATTTATGCACTTGATGTGACACAAACATTGGTCAAAAAACACAAACTTTAAACGTTTATACTTAAAAAAGGACTTTACGGAAAAAATGGTGTACAATTTTATTATTTAATTTTTCACGAAGTTTTATGCTGCAATAATATTATCTTCGAATTTTGAGACACCCTGTATATACATAATTGTTTGTTTTTTTGCAAAGTAAAGTTTAAAAAAAAGCAGCCAGAAAGGAGCAATACTGTGGTATAAATGTAAACAAATTTTTTTATTAATTAATTTACTAATACAAAAAATCATGTTTTCGATCTTTACTTGGTCTTCATCAATTCTTACATGTAACAAAATGAAGCATTTAATCCAAAATAAAAAAATATTCTACATTACGCATTGTAAAACCAGCGTTTAATAAAAAAATAAGAAGTGTGTGTGTGTGTGTGTGTGTGTGTGTGTGTGTATGCGTGTGTGTGTGTGTATGCGTGTGTGTGTGTGTGTGTACATATATACACACACACACACACACCTACACATATATATCGGCTCCTCTTTTGCAAAAAAATATATATATGTATTCTTATTTTATATA